CTACAGTGAGCTACCACTTTATACCTGTTAGGGTGGCTATCATCCAAAAAATAAGAAGAAGAACAACAACGACGACGACGACAAGTGTTGGCAAGGATGTAAAGAAACTGAAAACCTTGTGTATTGCTGGTGGGAATATAAAATGGTGCAGCTGCTAAGGAAAACAGCATGGCAGTTCCTCAAAAACTTCAATATAGATTTACATATGACCTAGAAATTCCACTCCTGGGTATATACACAGAAGAATTAAAAAGACTCAACCAATATTTGCACACAAGTGTTCAGAGCAGCATTATTCACAAGAGCCAAAAGGTAGAATTAACCCAATGTCCATCAACAGATGAATGGACAAATTGTGGTATATACATAAAATGGAATCTTATTTCCTAAAAAGGGATGGAATTCGACACATGCTACAGCATGGATGAACCTTGAAGACATTATGCTAAGTGAAAAAAAGCCAGAAACAAAAGGACAAATATTTTATGATTCCATTTATATAAGGTATCTAAAAATGGCAAATTCACAGAGATAGAAAGTAGAATGGTGACGACCAGGAGCTGGGAGTAGAGGAGAATGGGGAGTTATTATTTAATGAGTACAGAATTTCAATTTGGAAAGATGAAAAAGTCCTAGAGATGGATGGTGGTGATGGTTACCCAACAATGTGAATGTACTTAATGCCACTGAACTGTATACTTAAAAATGGTTAAAATGGTAAATTTCATGTTGTATGTACTTTACCACAAAAAAAATGATTTAAAAAAATAAGATCCAAAGTCTCATGACAAATTATGAAAATGTCCAAGATTCCAATGAAATTCATTCATACCAAAAATCAGGAAGATCTCACACTGAATGTAAAAAGACAATCAATAGATGCCAACATCAAGGTGACAGAGATGTTAAAATTATCCAATAAAAATACCCAATGCATGTGCAATTTAAAGCAGAAATGACAAAAATGCTTCAACAGGCAATTTTGACTATGCTTGAAACAAAGGAGCTTATATTACTACTTAGTAAAAAATTTCATTAAGGAAGTTCTGTTCACAAGCAGTATTTAATAATTTTAAGTCTGCATGCAACTTACAACATAGCCTCCAAATAGGTAAGGTCAATGACAGAACTAGCAGAGAAATAGACAAATTCACAATCATAATGAGTGATGTTTTCCATGAGCTTCATAGTAATTGATGGGAAAAAATAATAAAAATTGGAAAAGCATAATTAAAAATTCTAATTTAATGGGTGTACTATGTTATATATACTATCACAAACAACTGCAGTTGAATACTCATTATTTTTAAGAATACAGAGAATATATGGGATCCTGGCTGGCTCAGTCAGAAGAGCATGTGACTCTTGATCTTGGGGTCATGAGTTCCAGCCCCACATGGGGTGTAAAAATTGCTTAAATAAATTAAAAAACTTAAAAAAATATTTTAAAAAGGAAGAATACAGAGAATATTTTTACAAAAATTGCCCACATATTAGGCCATAAAGCAAGTTTCAACAAATTTCAAAGGATTTAAGTTGCAAGAGCATATCGTCTAACCACAATGCAATCAAGCACTTAAGAAAATAATAACAAAGGTATAACTAGAAAATTTCTTATGTTTGTTTGGAAATTAAGAAACATACTTCCGGGTGATTCATGGGTTAAAGAAGAAATCACAATAGAAATTAGAAAATACTTTGAACTTAACAGTGAAAATACTAAATATCAAAACTTAATGAATGTAGCTATTTAAAGGAAAATAAATAGCCTTAAATGCATTTAGGAATGAAGGTTGAAATGAGATTTTTTAAAAATTAATCTCAGGAAATTAGAAAAAGAACAGCAAAATAAACTCAAAGAAAGTGCAAGTAAGAGCGAAACAGGAGCCTCCGTACTTAAAAGGCAGTGGAAATAATATGCAAGGTTCTGCTTTTTTTTGTTTTGTTTTGCCTTGCTTTGTTTGAAGGGGTTATTCTAGGAGGACTTCCTAAGGAAATGTACCTGAACATTTTATAAATCCTTGCCAGCACAATGACTTTTTTCTTTTTGTAATAAATTGTGGTGTAAAACATACACAACATAAAATTTATTATTTTAATCCTTTTAAGTGTGCAATTCAATGCCATTAAGTACATTGACAATGTTATGCAATCATTACCACTGTCTATTTCTAGAACTTTTTTATCATCTCAAAGAGACTTTACCCATGAAACAATAACCACTCAATCCCCTCTCCTCTCAGCCCCTGGTAACCTCTCTTTTACTTTCTGTTTCTCTGAATATGCTTTTTCCAGGTACCTCATATAAGTGGAATCATATAATATTTGTCCTTTTGTTTCTGGCTTCTCTCAGTATGTTTTCAAGGTTTGTCCATAATGTAGCGTATGTCAGAATTTCATTCCTTTTTTATGGCAGAACAATAATTCATTGTATGAACATACCACATTTTGTTTTTTAGTAGCATATTAGTCCTCCTCATCATTTCTACTATCTTATAACAATATTATTGTTTACTAAGAGCTTATATAAGCTCTTGGGTGTTTTTTGTTTTTTTGTGGGTTTTTTTTTTTTGCAATACTCCAAGCAATAAATCACAAGTTCTTGTAGTGAATTAGACCTGTTATCACTTGGTTTATAGAGAACATAAAGGAAAAAATGGATTTTACACTGTAGTTTTTCCCCAAATAAATTTCTATCCGGTTTATATTCTCTCTCTTTTTTTTTTAGCGATTTTATTTATTTATTGTCAGAGAGAGCACAAGCAGGAGGATTGGCAGGGAGAGATATGCTGAGCAAGGAGCCGGATGCAGGACTCTATCCCAGGACCTTGGGATCGTGACCTGAGCTGAAGGCAGCCACTTAACCTACTGAGCCACCCAGGGATCCCTATAATCTCTTTTCATTAAACCAAGATTCTCTATTTGTTTTAAGATTGACTTCTACTATATATGTCTCTCAGCTAGGCCAATATGGAAGAGTAATGCGAGCATATGTGAATAGGCAAAATATCATTTAAATAAATATGAAACAACCTTTCCTTACAAGGAAAACTTCATATGCCCACCAAAAAAGTTCCAGGGAAACCAGCCACAGCATATATTTATTGGGCTGATGTTTTGTTACATGTGAAAAGTCTTTTGAATAAATGAGACATTTTAAATATTTTCTCATCCAATCTGGTATTTAGTTTCCTATGAATTTTAGTTTATGTTCAATTTCAAATTTATCTGTTCTTGTTCAATTTCAAATTTGGATTATTTATCTCTTTGGTGTTCCTTCCTCTCCAAGAAAAATAAAATTAAGGGTGAGAAAGGGAAAAAAATTAAATTAAATCTGGCCAATTTAGTTGCTTATTAATAATGCTATTACATATTAAAGTATAATAAATTACTGGCCAAAAAATAAGGTTTGTGGTTAAAAAAAAGTGTACCTACAAAGTTCCCTGAGAATCTTTAACTTGTTTCATTATGTGAGCCTTCATTCTTTGTATTTTGTATATTTTCTGCTACATGAAGATACTACTTTTAGCACCCATTTTTCTCAGCTTCCCTATTTATATTTTGGTATCTACATATACCAAATCACTTTGGATTCCCAGCATGGAGAAAACACTGCAGATTTACCTTCTCCTCAAATGTAAAACATGAATATAAAAGGGAAAAAATACCAACAGCATAAATCCTCAAAGAGTACTTTTCCTTACATCTATAAATATCTCACAGAAATTAAAAACTTCTGGGAACTTAAAATTGGTCAAGGAAATAGATGTTTTAATTCTCCTAAGTATAGCACAGAGAATAAAGTTTGGTACCAACAACAACTTCAAAAAGATTATCTGACTATATCGTTAGAATATTTGAAGAAAAAATATTCTTCTCTTTTAAATATTTATTTATTTGAGAGAGAGAGAGAACACACAAGTGTGAGCTGGGAGGAGTTGCAAAGGGAGAGGGAGAGAATTTCCAGCAACTTTCCACTGAGTGCAGTGCTGGCGGGGGCTCAATCCCAGGACCCTGAGATCATGACCTGAGCTGAGTCCACGCTCAACCGACTAGGCCACCCAGGGCATCCCATTACTACTTCTTCATAAGAATTTTTGAGGTTTTTAGGTATTAAAAAATAATACAACTTTATCCCTTCTTCAGCTATATTGTTATTGACTGGGAAAAATTATGTAACTAAGAATTACGAGAATTATATTTTGGCACATAAGCTTCTTTTTGGTACTTCATTTTCCTTTGTGTTATAGGTATTTGTGTATGTACTATATGCCCAACTAGATGATAAATGACTTATAAGCAAGAAACATAGCCTATTTCATGACTGCATTACCCATCATGCCTAATGTAGCACTTTGCACATAGTAGGTCTCAAATATTGGTAGAATATAGAATTATTGAATAATTGTGTAAAAAATTATTTAAATTAACAGTGAAAAAGGTTACTTTATTCTCAGACTGTAATGAAGACTATTTCAAACTCTATGCAGTGATGATACACACAAATATTTAAACTATTTATGTGCCTCAACTTGACATAATTTTATGATAACTTGATGGCAATCACATTTAAATATATTAGAATATTTTTGTAATAATGCTACTCTAGAATAACAACTTTAATAGCTGAGAAAACATGTTAAAGACCATTAACCTGAAAGAAACAGGAACATTAAACATTTTTTTCAGAAATCAATGTATAAGGTTAAACATTCCACTATAGTATTTATGAGCAAATCTCAAATTATAATTTATAAATGCAAACTATCAAATGTTTCAGCTAGACAATAATTTAGACTATATTTTATAATTTCTCCTGTGTACACATTGCTGAATACTATATAAAAAACATTCTTTTCTTCTTTAGTGTCTTTGACTGTAACTATCTAATATCAAAATGAATTTTGCTTGAATGCAAGACCATGGCAATGCTATAAAGGCCCTTAATTATCAATCAATATGATATTAATCAGTAAACACAAGTAAGTGATTTTCTTTACCTTTAGAACAGCAATGAATGGTACGAAGTTAGCTCTTTGGAGTCCATTTTTATAGAGATCTGAAAGAAAAAATTGCTATTAGCTTTTTACTTAGCCTAAATCTAATGTTAGCTCATATCTCAGTCTGGAAAATAAAGCTTTCTATTTATAAAAAAGATAAACACGCAAAAGAAAAATAACCAAAATTGATTTCTATTCTGGTACTACACAAAATTCATTATATTCTAAATAAGAGGAAGAATTGACAAAATTATGAAAGAAAATCAAAAGACATCCAATCAAATTGGTTTTACACTATAGTAAAAAGCAATAAAAGAATTTGGAAGATATCACAAATAATCCTAAGTCAATAACTCAACATATATATTTTTTAAAGTATTTAATATTTCAACATATAGAATTTTACTGGGAAAGGAATTATATTGCCCTTTATCTCAATCTATAGTAAAAATTATCAGTACAGAATTAAAAGCGTGTAACAAGATTAGCCTTTTAAGAAAACACATCGAAAGACAGAACTGTGCATGTATTTGTATCAAGACTACATATTTAACATTAAGGTAAATGACACTAAGGCCACTTTACTTTAAAAGAAATTACCTAAGCTTTGCACAGTGGCAGTATCATAGCCAATGAGGTTTATCCGAGGCGCGATTATTGCTAATTAAAAGAAATTACCACAAAATTAAAATTCCATTCTCAAAAGACTATAAATTTAATGCAGTTATAAAATAATAAACAGCTAGTATTTTTGGCCTTAGAATGGTGGTTTTTATATATGCATGTGTCACAGTGCATGTATGTTCAGACATATCCACACACATGAAACTGTCCAGGGCAAATAAGTGGAAAGGGGTAACAAATTTTAAGCTTTGCATATTTTTCTTTATTCTTCCTTTTTTCTTTCTTTCTAAAAAAAGAAGACTTGGAACTTTATTAAAGAGAATGAAATGTTATTGCATATAAAGCATTCCTTTTAAAAGTAAAATCTAAAGTAATGAGATTTTTTTTTAAGTATAAAAATGGGAACAGTAAAAAGTTTTTTCAATAATAAAACCCATGAATTAGGTTATGTGTCTTAATTTTCCTCTACATATGCTTTATAGGGTCCTTTCTATACTTCCTTGTTTAGAGAAAATTTGGTAACTGAGATAGACTTCAACTGTCACTTTTACTTACGGAAATAAAATATGGTCATTAGGAAACATTTATTCTCTTTAGAAAAATATTCATCATAACGTCATTATAGTGTAGAAAGTATTTGCAAAGCTCTTTGGTTAATTAAGGATAAGAGGCTTTAATTCAGTTACATTTAATATTCTTATTTAAGGATATTATAGGTAAGATAATACTGGCCAGGCTGTTGGAATCTTCAAATTCAAAGTGAGATCCTTCCTTTCCTATAATCAATACCTTAAATGAGTAAAATAGGTAAAATGCAGGAAATGGGTTATTAAGTTAGGTATTTTCAGAATCTTCCCTAATTATCAAGTTGTTGGGGAAGGTGCATAAAAACACTGCTGTATGATAAGAGTTGACAGCCATGATTACCAATAAGTGGTAAAATTTGAAAATAAAATAATCTTATTTTATTTATTTATTTTTTAAGTAGGCTCCATGCCCAACATGGGGCTTGAACTCATGACCCCAAGATCAACAGTCACATGCTTCACTGACTGAGCTCCAGTGACTGAGCCAGGTGTCCCAAAAAATAAGATAATTTAAATACACTCAATGTTTACAGCAGCTTTATCTGGAATAGCCAAAAACTGGAAGCAATCCAAATGTCCATCATTAGGTGAGTGGATAAGCAAACTGTGATATTTCTGTATAATGAAATACTACTTAGCAATAAAAAGTAGAAACCATACACACAACAAAATAGATGAATCTCAAAATAATTACGCAGAGTAAGAGGCCAGAAAAGGTATATACTGTGTGATTCCATTTATATAAAACTCTAAAAAAAGCAAATTAAAGCTACAGTAATATAAAGCTAATCAGTGGTTGCCTAGAGAAGGGGCCAGCAGGACAACAATGACCGGGAGAGATGAAAACAGGGAAAGAGGAGTTTTGAGTGTGACAGAAATATTCATTATATTGACTGCAGTGGTAATTTCACAGATGTACGCACATGCCAATATTTTATAAATTGTACCCTTTAAATATGTGTCATTTACTGTATATCAATTATAACTCAATAAGTTCTTTTAAAATTTATTGGGAAAAATACCAAAGTGAATATTGAAGAACACAATGTTATAGAACTAACACTGAGATATTACACAAATGAAAGTTTATCTATGTTAAGGTAACTTTTTGGTCTCACTTACAGAATAGTATCTTTGTTATGAACACAAAAGGCTCTGAGACGTAACTTAACAAGTATGTACCTTTCAGTAGGTTCATGACAATGAAAGGTATAAAAACGCCCACTTGTAATATTCTTGATTGAAAGTTTCCACTCGTCAGCAAAGGTAAAATCAAATAATACCTTTCAGTCTTCAAGAGTTAAATTTTTAAAGGGTTAACTTTAAAAACACTCTGCCTTTATAAGGATATATAATCCAAACTTTATGCTCTGAAAAGTATTTTCTAAATAAAATTCCAAACAAAATTCATTTGGCTTGTAAACCTTTAGGTTTTTATAGGACACTTAAGTGAAAAAGAACTGTACTCATTAAATTGAAGAGTTTTTTGCAATTCAAATATTACGCTAATTATCAATGCAATAGATCTATCTCCTGAAATGTTACTTAGCTACCATTTTTTTCATACTAGTTGTTTAATATTATTTCTCTCAGACATAAAGATTTTATAATACATTTGTATCAACATTTGTCACTGTTTACTAAATACTATTTAAAAATTCAGCAGAAGTTCTTGCTTACAATTTTTTAATGATCTCTAAACAGAGTTAAATGAGACTTGGTCATATAAGAGAGAGTACTGAAATTATGGCACATTCATTTTTCAAGATTGGTAATAAGGACCTCTACATTCTCCACAGTGAATAACTATAATAATACAGACAAAATACATGCAAAGAGGATTTTTAAAGCAATTACAAGGATCTAAATACTTTGGAGATGTACATGGATATACAGATTTTTTCCTTAAAAATCCAAGCATCGTGGAAGCGGTTATATACAAACCTAATGGTAACCATATATCAAAAACCACTAATAAATATGCAAAGAATAAAGAGAAAGAAATCCAAACATATCACTAAACAATTCAGCAAAACATGAAAGAAAGACAAGTAAGGATCAGAGAACGAACATCTTTAGAAACAACCACAAAAAAAATAATAAATTGACAATAAATACATATCTATCAATAATTACTTTGAATGTAAATGGACTAAATGCTCCAATCAAAAGACATAGGGTGACAGAGTGGATAAAAAAATAAGACCCATCTATACGCTGCCTACAAGAGACTCATTTCAGACCAAAAGACACTTGCAGATTGGAAGTGAGGGGATGGAGAAACATCTATCATGCAAATGGTTGGCAAAAGAAAGCCAGAGTAAAAATACTTATACTGCACAAAATAGGCTTTAAAGGGGCAACTGGGTGGCTCAGTCGTTAAGCGTCTGCCTTCGGCTCAGGTCATGATCTCAGGGTCCTGGGATCGAGCCCCGCATCGGGCTCCCTGCTCGGTGGGGAGCCTGCTTCTCCCTCTCCCCCTCCCCCTGCTTGTGTTCCCTCTCTCGCTGTGTCTCTCTCTGTCAAATAAATAAATAAAATCTTAAAAAAAAAAAAAAAAGACCTTCTTAAAAAAAAAAATAGGCTTTAAAACAAAGACTGTAACAAAGACAAAGAAGGACACTATATACTAATAAAGGGGACAATCAAACAAGTATAACAATTGTAAATATTTATGCACCCAACATAGGAGCACCCAAATACATAAAACAGTTAATAATAAATATAATAATAATAACAAAAATAAAGGGGGGCACCTGGGTGGCTCAGTCATTAAGCATCTGCCTTCAGCTCAGGTCATGATCCCAGGGTCCTGGGATCGAGCCCCACATCGGGCTCCCTGCTCAGCGGGAAGCCTGCTTCTCCCTCTCCCACTCCCCCTGCTTGTGTTCCCTCTCTCGCTATGTCTCTCTCTGTCAAATAAATAAATAAAATCTTAGAAAAAAAATAACAAAAATAAAGGAACTAATTGATAATACAGTAACAGTAGAGAACCTTAACACCCCACTTATACCAATGGACAGATCTTCTAAACAAAAAATCAACAAGGAAACAATGGCTTTGAATGACACACTGGACCAGATGGATTTACCAGATATATTCAGAAGATTCCATTCTAAAACAACAGAATATACATTCTTCTCAAGCGCACATGGAACATTCTCCAAAACAGATCACATTTTAGCCCACAAAACAAGCCTCAAAAAATTCAAGAAGACTGAACTCATACCATGAATCTTTTTGGACCACAAGGCTATAAAACTAGAAGTCAACAACCAGGAAAAATCTGGAAAGACCACAAATACATGGAGGTTAGATAATCTGCTACTAAACAATGAAGGGGTAAACCAGGAAATAAAAGAAGAAATAAAAAGTACTTGGAAGCAAAAGAAAATGAAAATACAATGGCCCAAAACCTTTAGGATACAGCAAAAGTGGTCATAAGAGGGATATTTATAGCAACACAGGCCTACCTCAAGAAGAAAATTCTCAAATAAACAACCTAACTTTATATCCAAAGGAGCTATAAAAAGAAAACAAACAAAATCTAAAAGCAGAAGGAAGGAAATAATAAAGATTAAAGCAGAAATAAATGATAGAAAAACTAAAAAACAAAACAATAGATCAACGAAACCAGAAGTTGGTTCTTTGTAAAAAAAATCAATGAAATTGAGAAACCTCTACCAGACCTACCAAGAAAAAAAAGAGAAAGGACTCAAATAAAATCACAAATGACAAAGGAAAAATAACAACCAATGCCACAGAAACACAAACAATTATAAGAGAATATTATGAAAAACTACATGCCGACAAATTTGCCATCCTAGAAGAAATGGATAAATTCCTAG